CTCCCAGAATTCTCTAGCCTGCCTTGCTTGCTGGGGAATTCTGGGAGTTGAAGTCCACCCATCTGAAAGTTGCCAAGGTTGAGAAACACTGGTCTGGAGGAATAAGGTGCTCCCCTCCAAAATATCATCGCAAATTCTTCCGTTGGCTCATTCTGGTCTGCAAAAACTGGGACACCCACCCCAGTGAATTTGGCGACAGAGGATGAGTTCCCAAACGCTGCTTGGGTGCTCCCCTGGCATGCTGAAGCGCTGGAAACAGAACTGCAACCACGTTCTCAAGTTCCCGTGACGCCTGGCCCAGATTAATTCCACCAACACTCCCAGTTTTAAAAATAATAATTATTTTAAATTGGGAACACTTCCTGGTGTGGAGATGCTGTGACGGGCAAAGTGTTGAGCACTTCACCCATCGTGCAGGAAGACAGACAGATCCGCCCTGAATAACTGTGGCTATTTTTTATCCTTTGCACTGAGAGCAGGTGAAAAGTTGGCAGGGTAGGAGCTCATGCTGGGTGACAAGGCTGACCCTTTTCGGTCGCCCCTTCCTGCTTTATCTGCCTGCTATCTCTCCATCTGCTTTCCCCACAGTCCCCTTCCAACCCGAAGCAATATTTGCCAGTTAGTTCTTTGGTTTAATAAAGGGGTTCACCAGTTTTTTTCCCTGCACCGTGCATGGTCCAAAAATGAGGGGAGAAAAAAGGAATATAGGCCTCTTTAAAAAAGAGTTAGCCTCTTCGAGCCTGTTGCTGTTGGCTTCCTGCAATCCTTCATAAGACCCTCACAGACTTGAGGGTTTTGTAGCCAAAGCGTACTTGAGCCCACCCAATGATGCAGGAGTTTTTAAGGACATGGGTTTGGCAAGGGGCGTGCCGCATTCGGACGTGCGGTGACTACAGATTGGCAACCCCTTCACCATCCCCTTCATGCATCCTGCTTATCCTTTGGCCGCATGTGTAATCTCTTCCTCTTGAACTTCTGCTCTTTGATTCTGTCGCACGGTTAACCTTTCCCAGGTGTGCCGCACCTGTCATTGACTGATAAGACCCAAAGTTTCTTCAGTGCATACACGCACGCACACATTCAAACCCAGACTTGCTGCAACCGCTAAAACCCCTTCAAAAATCCCTCTCTAGTCCTGACAGGTGTTGGTTTACAGTAACCACAGATAACAGCATTAAAAAAATAAACCACCAAAGGGAACAAGAATGAGGAAGAACTTCCCCGCAGCTTCGCCAGACTTTCTAATCGGGTGCCTGTCCATCAAGTTTGGAGAAGTCACAATGCCCTGGGATTTTCTAGGGCAAGGTCTGTGGTTTGTACCTTTCTTCTCAGAGATTCAGCAGCTACAAGAATCAGAGCTTTTGCAGAGGTGGCTCCTGGCCATCATTTCAAACCTAACTTCTCCTCTTGGTTTTCGGCCAGCAAGGCGTGACAAAGTCAGCTTGGCGAGGACGGGAGGGAAACGTGGGTGCTGAGCTTCTATAAAGTGTGTGTGTTTTTAAGGTGCTTTGGCTAAGCTAATGGCAGTTTGAGTTGTGTTTTGAAGGCAGAGAGACAAAAGGAAGCTGATGTGAAGGGGACCATTTTTCTTACTAACTTGACGGATTGTTTTTCCATCATTCTGAACGGCAACTCAACAGCTGCGTTTCCTCGTCCCTCCTTTGAGATGGACTATGAACGCAAACGCTTTTCCTGCTTGATAACAACAGATCAGGAGCTGCTCAAGACAGCGGAACAAATTACAGCATCACCGTTACCCTTGCAGATTAGCTCGGGTGACTTCCTTGCAAACAGCAAGGAGCGTGAAAAAGATCTTTCAGAACCACAGCCGTCCCAGAAATTTGGGCATCGTTATGCAGATCTCTCACTCGCCTCCGGGGATGCTTTTGGTCTGTCCCGCGAACAACTTTTCCCCAGCGGCTACTACTTGTGAAATGAAAAGAGACACCCCCCCCCAACTATTTCTCCGCTAAACTCAGTCAGCTGCAGGCTACCTGGCCGTCAGTGAAACGGACAAGCATCCTTGGAGCTCTGCTTTTCTTCTGTAAATGCCAAGGGTTGAGCAAGAGGAACGCTCAGGTCCTTACCCGCAGATGTCAAGGCAGAGTTCGGTGCCCAGAATGTGGAGGGTGCTGGTAGCCTTCTCTGTTGAAAGCCGGACCCATCTCTGATTAGGCATGTTGGGGAACTTTTCTTTGGTCCTGCCGGTGGTTTGCTGGCTCTGGAAAATGCTTCCCTGGGCTGGATTCTGGAGGGTTAAAAAGGGAAAGGTTGGGTGGGTACCAGGTCAGCTTTTCCACCTTGCCAGCTGATAGGCTGATGCACACACTAATCCCGCCTTCTGGATTGGTGCAGCTGAGTTGGAAGCTGGCAGCCCATGTGCTCGGGTGGGACAGCCAAAGGTTCCCGGAGTTATCAGCCACCACCCCAGGGAAGAAGAGGAGGAGACGGAGGTAGCCAGAAGGCGTGGTGACTTCCTTGTCCTAGAGCAGGGTTTGTCAATCTTGGCCACTTGAAGATGTGTGGGCTTAAATTCCCAGAATTCCCCAGCCAGCAGAATCTTGGGAGTTGAAGCCCACTCATCTTCAAGTGGCCAAGGTTGAGAAACACCGTCCTACAGAGTAGCCCAACTCTGACATGGGCAGGTTGCCCCCTCTTCACTGTGAACTTGCCTTGTTGTCTTTTCTAGTTGGCAAGACGTTGGCTTGACGCACCTCTACAGCACTCATGCAGACCCTTCAGGGCAACGATTTATCTGGAGAACCTGAGATCCACTGAGGATGTGTTTGAAGAAAGACAACAATCGCCCTGCTCCGTAGCAAAGCGATTTTGGGAGGTCTGCAAAGAGGAGCCACCAAATCCTCCTTCTTTATCGACCTGTTCAATTCACAGAGGTATGTTTTTCTTGAGATGGAGGATAGCGACTTGCTTTCTGAAATGCATAGCTCAGTTTAGAGGTCTAGCAACTTGAGCACAGAGGTGGGTAGTCCGGAAGCAAAGAAGCTTGCCGTCTTAAATGGTCGAAGAAAGTTTAGATCCTTCTTTCCCATCTAGAGGATCAGATTTGGCCTAGACACTAAGGAAGAATGCTGCCTCCACAATTCAATTAAGTAAGAAGTTTAATTTCAGCAGATGAGGAATATTTGAGGTGGGTGATGATATACATCTAATAAAGAAAGAAATATTGATGTCTTATTTACCCGGTATTTCTGATGCAGTTTAGCAGTAGAATCCCCACCGAACAAAGGAATCCTTCTGAGCCAACGCTGGAATATTTTTAAAATCTCAGCTACACTTTCTTGCTCCAAATTCAGTGGAAGCAAGAAATCTGTTTGCCGTGCATAATCTACGCATTGATGGGGATTTCCATAAAACCAGTGTTGGCCGTGAGGAAAAAAGGGAATACAAAAATTAGTAAAGACCAGAATTTTATAAAGGACGATTTACAGATCAAAAAAGAATTATTCTAAGCTTCTGAGACGCCAAGAAGATACTGTATAAGTCAAGGGGGGAAAAGGCATACGTGGTTCTGTAATTTTGTGGGCTAGGTTGCATTTTTATCAGGTGCACCAAGGGTTCTCTTCGGCGTGTATGCAGTCACAGGGCTCTGCAGAATATGTGAATAGTGAAGTAATGCGCGCACACATACATTTTTTGATAATGACACTAATGCTCAAAGGTGTTGAAAGTCTGCCCAGCGTCCCTTTCCAGCAGCATTAATTCGTGATGATGCAGTTTGCCAGCTTCTGCTAAGCCAATTAGCACCTTCAGTGAGATAAAACAAAAATTATCTTTCGTTAAGCCAGAGGCAACAGTTTTAAGAGTTAACCTCCCTTTGAAGGTTTTGGTCATGGGTTCCTTTCAGAGCGGCTTCTGGAAGATGATGAGGATTGTTTCGCGTGGATTCCTTCTTTGATCCATCCTCTTTCTGAGGTTAGATTTATGATTATTTATTCTTTCATAAGAAATAGACTCACCCTGGCAGATGACACTATAAACTGGAAGAGAAGCAGTTAAGCAAACCCTCTTGATGTTGACCTCATGGGACATTACATGAGTTAGTGTCTGTCCATTTTCTGCCAATGTACAATTCGGTCTCAAAGTGACTTAGGTGTGAATAACCCTACTCATTCAAACCAAGGCCCACATAAGCCACCATCTGCTTCTCCCCACATGATCCTGGGGTGCTCTTGTTTGGTACCTGCAATTGGGATTTGGAGATGTGCTGCCCCCAACCTAGAGGCAACCCTGAATCTTGAAGACCAGCAGACCTTGATAGACCAAGCCCTCCATGAAGTCATCCACTCCCCTTTCAAAGCCAGCCAAAAACACGGCCATCACAACGTCTGACGTTCATGGATTTCGCAGATCCAGTCACCTGTGACTTGGCTTGGCTTAGCATACAGTGTGAACCCTGCCAATGTATGAAGGTTTTTTGTCAGTTAATCACGGCTAAAGCAGGCTGTTGGTGTGAACCCAACAGGATATTCCAGTATTTACGTTCTGCCTGTGTCATGCTCCATGGGAGACGGGACAGACTCAGATTTAATGGTGGTAGAAAAAGAGAAGGATGTCAACTTCCAAGGCAAGATGTTAGTTCCTCTTATCCACCATTGAACAAAACCATTCACTTCCACGATCTGCCATCATGGGTCAGTTGGGAATAAGAGTTGCCATGCCCACATTTTGGAATAATAGTAATAACATTAACAATAATGCATTTAATTCAAGTGTGTTTCATTGCATCAGCTTATCTGGACAGCTTTCCATCCTGAGAGATTTACTCTCACTCATGAAACACTTTTCTGATGTATTGAATCACAGATGATTTCGAGTACTGTGACAGAGTGTGTCTATTGCTAAAGAGATTTCGTTGGGAAAGCACCTGTGTTTTTCATTTAAAGGAAAAATATGACTCATTTGTTAAGAAGGGTATATGATCAGCTGCTCTGAACACTTCCTCTTTTGAGTGGCGCTGATGAAAACGACTGAGTTGCATCAGGACGGAAAGTCATCAACGTCTGCTTGCGCGGCTGAGCGGGAGGCAATTTTGTGATACACATTTTTTATTTTCGGTATTGTTGCATTCCTGGCTTATATCATGATTGCATCTCATTCTAAGTTTAGGGATTCGCATCCTTCCCCCTTCTGCGAGATACAGACCTCACTTTTGCAGCTTGTCCTTCATCGCTCTACCCTTAACCTAAATTTACCTGTGCCTAGGGGTGGACAGAAAACATCATATTCCCGTGTGCAAATTCTGGAAAGTAATCAAACTTTAGGCTGGATTTGAACCTGGAATTAGCCTTGAAACAGCAAAAGCTTCCAAGAACTGGTCTGATTTCCAGGGTGCCTCTTTCCTCCCCCCTCCCCACAAAAAAGGTGAAACATGCTTTGGGAAATCAATTTATGACAGCCCTTATACACAAAATAGATGTTTCTTGCTCCATACAGAGAAGAAAGACACGCCAGTTCCTCCTGATTTTATCCAGAACTGAGTCAACTTCAGTTATTTCTGAGTAATTTCCCACTGAAAAGTGTTTTTAAACACGTAAATATATCTGGCTTTTCCAAATCATGTCTTCATCTTGCACTCGTTCCTCCAGAGGCAGCATTTCTCCATAAAGTCAGATAATGTTATCTAATGTGTTGTCTTGCATTTCCCTGTATGGTTAGTGGTTGGCGCCTCATTGCTGAAGGCCCCAAATTGAAAGGTATTTCAGGAAGGTGCTGAGAAATTATCTTCGGAAAGGATGTTCTCTCTCCTTCATGCAAGTTTCCATGCTGCTGTTTCTGTCCAACCTTGGAGACAAAGGTGTGGAGCAAAATAAGTCTGAGATGTGGGGCAGCTCCTCGCTGTTCATGGAAGGATATTCCACCAGTGAAAGGAAAAAGGTTCCCGCCGGACATTGGTGCCACAGTGGACTTCTCCCAGTAAGACATGGTAGGAGAAAAAGTCATCAATGAAAGTGCAGGATAGGCCCAGTGGCTCCAAGAGGGAGCGGACTTTCACTTCCAAGCAACACTGGCCGTGGATGATGGGGCCATGCGGCTTGGGAATGCCCAGATGTTCCCCCAAGACGAGCATATTCACCTGCAGAGAACAAGAGAACGAAGGGTTGAGTTGGTTTCTCATCCATCTCTCTCATCCAAGCTGTCATCGTTGCAGTCAACGCCCAAATCATCCATTCATTCCATATTGGAAAGACACCTTGGTCTTTTTGCCCAGAACTGAATAAAACTATTCTCATCCCCTTCAGCGTACTTCCACTCAACCTACATGGACCAAACAATCCAAAATATTTCTTTTTCATGCTTAATCTCCTGCATTAGTTGCTCCCCTCTCCAGTTTATCTTCACAGCAGCTCCATGAGTGACGTAAACTAAAATACCAGTTTGGCCTTTCTTTGTTTCTTCATCCCTAAACATCATGAAAAGCTTTTAAAGAAAAACTCCTTTTTAGCCACTACCCATTTAAAATCAGCATGTTTGATGCACTCCTAAAGAACTTTTCTAGTTTCTCCCTTCTGCAGATGGAAGTGTGTGGACTATAAATCCCTGCCGTTCTGTCCTCTCCAGGGAATTTTGGGTGAAACCCATGGCACTGAAGACCAGCTTAAAACCAGCCTGGGGTGTTGGCTTGTCCCCTGAAGGTAAAAGACCAACTGGAAGGTGAAGATCTCACCATGTCTGGGAACAAGGCTGTGGCGGTGGAGCCTTCTAGAGTGAAGAGTTGCGGAATATCGATGATATCTCGTTCGCTCACTCCAAGTTCCCGCTTTAAAATACTCCGGTTCCAGTCAATGCAACTCTGGGAAGAGGAAAAGAAGAAGGAGGAGGTGAGTAATCCAAGTTAGTTCCCATCAGGTGAAAGGCTTAATTCATATTACCTGTGTTGAAGGCCCTTTGTTACCTGTAGGTTGATGTCTGCCTCCTCCTCATCTTGAGTTTAGTGTCCAAGGAATGATCTATTATTATGTTAGTTTGATATCCTGACTTTCTTCCAAGAGCTCAAGAGGGCTGCATGGGGTTCTCTCTTCCTGTGAGATAGGTTGGGCTGAGAGAGAGTCGGACCCTAGAATTACCCAGAGGGTGGATTTGAACCTGGATCACCCTGGACCTTCACCACTACACCACACTGGCTTTGAACCTGGGTCTCCTCCATCTTCATCCAGGACTTGACTCTCACACCATTCTCCCCAACTTTGTCACTTTTAGATGTGTTGGATTTCAGCTCCTGTAATTCTAGCCAGCTCAGCCAGTGGAAATGTTTAAAATGTGTGTTCAGCTTAATGTTTTCCCCTTTGTCAGAGTGTCAGGATTCAAGAAACTAATTTTCTGCCCACTTCCTTGTGAAGTAGTCCCGCAAGATTACAAAGCAGATGTGGGGGATATTTTAGAAAGGGACAAATAGGTTTAAAAATATGTGCTGTCGTTGATTCAAGGAGCATTCTGAATCTTTCTCAAACAAAATAATGTTTCCCTGCCAAGATGGTGAAACTCAAGAGGTAGAAAAGCTTATATTAGAGAGAAGTGGTTAATGCACCACTTTTCAAATGGAGGCAGATTTTTGTAAACCAAATACAAAAATACTTTTTCTACTTGGTAGAAAATAAGAACCTGGGATTTGTAAACAGGAAGCAGACGGGGCTCCCCAGATCTGACTACTACAATTATCTGACAGGTTTCATCCTTAGATGCAAAAAGAGGATCTAATGCTGACCAGGAAAGGAAATTACTAAGAGTGATCCAGAAAAATTCTAAGAAGTGGGTTGTTACAGGCCAGCTTCTTGGAAAAGTGATACATGAAGGAGCATCATGCAATTCTGGGTTCAGTTTTGCACCTCTAAATGATGGGAAAGTGGTTGCTTAACAGGAGGAAGGTAAACATGCTATGGAGAACCTTCTGCATTTTGAAGGAATTAGCTGAGATGGCACCATGGACAGCTTTGCTTAGAGAGAAAAAACATTGATTGACTTTAATGCCAATTGGAAGCCCCTTCTGGACTTTTTGCAGGAGGCAGAAAAAAATGAAATTATGATACCTGCATTTGATGATTAGTTAAATGAACAGATTATACAAAACATGTATGTTAAGAAGTAGTTTTAGAGTAAGAGGTTATTTTAGGATTTATTTACATCTGCTGTATAAGAAGTCGGAAGTTATTCTTTTTATATTTCTCTTTTTCTCTATTTTCTACCACTTTTGTATTATTTATTTCTAACGTTCTTGCTCTCTACTTTTCTTCTCAATTATTAGCTTTTATCCTTATGCTTTTTATAACTTAATAAAGTTCTTATTAAAAAAAGAGAGAGAGAGAACCTTCTGCATTCTGCTGGTAACCGGTTTTTTTTTTTTAACGTGGCGTATTTCAGAAGTCTTCGTAAAGGACAAAACACACCTGAATTCCCTAACTCAAATAGCTATAATAGGGAGGCAGAAACTGCTAAATTTTCGTTATTGTTTTACCTGCACATACTTGCTATCTTGGCGCAAATTTCTATCAGCCAGGAGTTGATTGAGAGTAATTTTCCCCACTGTCTTCAGACCTGGAAAAGTGAGATTTATAAGCCAGGGTTGCTGGTCCCTCCAGGGCGTTGAATCAGCCGGGAAGAATAATTTTGGGGCTCACCTTCAAACAGAGCAGCGTCTCCATAACCTTCCTTTTGTTTCTCTTCGAACAGCTTCAGACAGGCAAGGGGGCTGGCCAAAAGCAACCGGAAACCCTGCGTGGAAACCCCCAACGAAGGTAAGAACCGGAGCAGAATTTGATTCCAACAATATAATCTGATACGGGGTGTTTTCTGCTGCCATGCCTCCTGAAAGGCAGTGGCTTACTTGCTGGGATGTCCCCACATGTGCGCAAACCTTTGAGCTAAGGGGAACATGCCAGGTACAGAATACAGACAGTGCTGGGCCCCCGAGAGCTATTGGTGACCACTTTGCAGCCAGGTAAACTGGCAAAACTTTCATAATCTACCACGGATGAAACGCGGGAAGCTTAATTGGCAAAGGGAACTGGTGAAATAATTTCCCCATAGCTCCATACCTTCTTGCCTGGCGCTGGGACGAAGCTCAGGAATTCATCCACATGGCCCACCGTCAGCCAGTCAGAATAAAGCTCTACCGGGCACTGGACCTTCTGCGCATAAAGGAAGTCTCGGACAACTTTAGCCATTTTCCTGTTGCCGGATCTAAGCATGGAGGTGGATGGAGAGAAAGGGAGGCACGTGGCCTTAGAACGGGCCACGCACAAGCTAATTTGGATTGCTTACCTGTTTGTGCTGAAAAACACCTCTTGTGGGTGTCTCTTTGGAAGAGAAGGCAATGGGATAATTTCCACGCTCCCCTCCCCTCCCAGTCTGCATTATTGGTGGTGCAAATAAAAGCTTTAGGTGGGAACAGACATGGAAGGGGTGCATCGCGTGTCTTTGCCTGCTCCCAGTCTTTGGAACTCCCTGCCAAGAGAAGTCAGTTTTGCTCCCTCTGTGGCTGCTTCCCCACCGGGCAGGAACATTTTTAATCAAGCAAGCCTTTGATGCCTGCACCCGTTGGGCTACCGCGATGGAGGGATGTTCATTACCGTGCCTTCCTGCTGCTTCTGGTTGGCTTTGACGGAGGGCCGTTGGTTGGTGGGGAGGGAAGGTATGAGGTTAAGCAAATAAATCTCAGTCTCCTTTCAACCAAGGAGTTGAAATCAAGGACGCGTGACCGTCGGTTGTCTGGCTACCTGCTCGCAAGCTTTCGGGTGACCAGCTGTGACGCCAGCTTGTGAAGAAGAGATGGAGAACACGGGCCGCAGGACTCCCTTACCCAGGAAAGCTGCTGCCAAGGAGGATCCTCCCCAAAGGGTAGTCTTTCCCCTTGACCGTCACGGGTGGGCTGACGTCCAGGTTACCGAAAGAATCCAGGCTGGAGACTCTCCCGTTCTTGGGTTCCCGGGTAACGTACCCAAAATCAGGGCCCTGGTGGCAATAAGGCAAAGAGGGCTGAGCACTTGAAAAGTCTTGAAAATATTATTCTTTTTTTTAAGACTGAAGAATCTTCGGTCACTTGGAAGCCTAAGCGTTTTTATTATGGCACGAAGTTTCACGAACTCGTCCACGTTCTTGCTGCCACAGGATAACTTAGCTGCAGTTCAAATCCCTTCTTCGCCTTAGGCTGAAAGTCAACCCTTTTTCTATCCTGGTTCTCAGAGAAAGAAGAGATGCCTCTGTTTCTTCTCCAATTATAAGGAGGAGAGAATTCGGCCTCTGTTATGGAATCAATTTGCCAAGAACGATAGGAGCGCTTAGCTTACCAAAATCTTCTTGAAAGGGAATTCCTTCAAGCCCCTGTTCCTGGGGGAGTCGAAGACGACGGGGAAGGATTTATGGGGTGACTCTACATAACCAAATTCCATCTCATCCTGTTGGGGGAAGAAATTCGGTCAGGGATCCAGTTTGATCTGCCCTGATCTCTTAGGCTTTGGGGGGGGTAAGGACTGGTTTTTAAACAATTCCCCACCAAAACATGTCAACCTCGGGAGCTGTGTGTTGTGTGAGAGAAGAGGAAGGAGAGAAGGCAGAAACTGGGGATGGTGGAACTTCATTGCCCATCCAGTCCACAATCTGCTTTTCTCCTTGAGAGGAGTCTGTGTGTATGAAAAGAAGGAAGAGAGGGTGGGAAAATGGTCATTTCCCCACTAGCAACGCACATCATCGTCTAGACATCCAACCCTCGTTGGACCAAAATAATTATATTAAGGACAGTCTTTACATGATGTCCATGGTGGCTGGTGAGGCGATGAAGATGCTCTAAATCGATAGTGGGGAAACACTTTCTCAGCCACCATAAAACTCCAACAGTGGGACAGAACAAAACCAAACCCTCAGCTGGGCTTCTTGGATGGATTAAAGTCATCTCCCCACATTGTCCTACCAGGAAAAGGGGAAGCAGGATACACGGACATCTTTACAGGATTCAGCGGGAGAAGGCAAGGTCTGTCATCGAGCTGCGTTCCAACCCTGTTCCTACCTGGATCCAGCGGTCACCCCGGTTTTCTACTTCTGGGCAAATGGTTAATTTGCAGCTGGCTTTCCTTGCTAGAAGTTTTATCGCCTCCAAGAACTTTTTGTTGGAGTTCTCGCCCTTCTCAATGCTAAACGAAAAACAGGATGATTGTGGTGGCAGCTGGAATTCCAGCTGACAAAGATGGATGATCAAGAAACATCCCCTTCGTTTAGGGGGTCATAACTGCACAGTTAAATTTCTCTCCTGTCCTCAGGACTTACTCTTGGTGGATATGAACGTCCACATGTCTACGGGAGAAACGTACAGCTTCCCATTTAGGGTCATAACTCTGGCTAATGAGCCTTGTTACCCCCACAAAGATAGTCCTGCTGGTGTTTCATTGCTACCTGCAAACGAAGATTTCAAGTGGTTTCTGTGTGTTGGGGGTCATGAGCCAAGGGGCCACGTGGAAAACCACAGTATCCGTGAAAACTGGGGTGGCTGGCGAGGTCTGTGAAAGCCAAGTACAGAAGAGAGGAGAAAACAGATGAAATTATGACCAGCGCCTTTTACCTCTAACTTGGAAATGCTTCAGAAAAGTGCCCTGTAGAGCAGAAAATTGCGTGTTTTTATCCAGTTAGCCCAGAGTCGCTTCTTCATGAAGCAATCAAATCCATATAACTGTGACTAAACAGCCAAAACAGAAGCATAACAAACAAGCCAACATTGGCATGAAGAACAGGTTGGAAAGATCTCTCTCCAACCCATCTCCCAGTCCAGCTCCCTAAGATCTTTTGAACTGGAGATATCAAGGGTTATATCCAAAGCAGACCTCTGGGTTTTAAATTTGCACCACTAACCAACGCTGGGGCCTCACCAGATTGCCTACAGCTTCAAAGGAGCTCTTCCGTGAACCGCAATTTTGATTTCATTTTCTTTCCAAGGTTTATTAGTTCCCCCAGAGAGACAGCTGTCAAGGTGATATAGCTATTATAAATACAGGATATCATATTTTAAATGAAAACAGGAAAGCAGCAGAGAAATAAATGCTAGGTAGAACACCGTCTCGCAGCCCAACTACAGAGAACTGGGATAAACCGTAGCAGGCAATGTTTGGATCGTGGATTGCAATCAAGAATGAATGTACGTACCCGGTTAGTCTGCTCCAGCAGCGTCGCGTTCAGGGACACCAGGCCGTTGAAGTCTGTGTCTGGGAAAGCAAGGCCCTCCACGTAAAACATATGTTGCCCTTTTCCATCTGTGGGTTCCACGGCGTAGGAGAACTTGTCTGACCCCAAAATGTGCTCATAGTGGGAGACTGACGAGTTTCCTGCTGAGAAAGTGGCATAATGTCCAAAGAGATCTCCATCCCGTGCAAAGGAAGTCAATAGGAATAAATAACATAACATGTGAAAGAGGCCTTTTCTCCCCAACGTCTGTCATCCAGTTTGCAGCAGAGAAGCCTTGAAGATGGAGATGGTTTCTAAGCTACAGATGGCAGCATCTGGCTGACCTTGTCTGAGCCTGAAAACGAAGCATGTTTGGGTCTGGTTGATTCTTGGAAAGGAGACTGCCAGGAAGACCCAGACTATGGAGAAAAGACAAGGCCAGAAGGAGCCCACAATGTTGCTAAGAAAGCTGCACAGACGTATTCATCATTGCCTTCCTATATGGAGATAGTCTTCCCCAACGTGGTGCTCTCCAGATGTCCTGCCACAGAGCTTCCAGCATTCCCAGGAAGCATGTTACAAGTTCTTCCATTTGTGGAAGACATAGAGAAAGGCCTTGAAGGACAGGAGGAAAAGCCACCACCTAGTCAACGGTCTGATAAGTGGCTTGATCCTGTTCCAAGAAACTAATTTGAGAAAATGTCTCAGACGGGCCCCTCCCTAGTTCAAAGTGAGGCAGGGGAAGCCCATTCAGACTTGCAAGATTCTCTTACTACAGCTGTCACCATAAGAGTAGTCCTGATCTCTATGGCATTGATCTCTTAGCACAATGTGGCACATTGGAAAGGCCACATGGAAGGCATGATGCACACAAGCAGTGGAAGATCCTGCCAAGCCAGGATCCAGAGGAGCAGAGACCCAGCCTAGCAACTTACCAGCTGCATGGAAAACTCTAACTTTTGCAGCATCAAACATGGAGATGTGAAGGATCAGCTTGTGGTTGTCAAAGATACCGGCAGGGCTGTTGATATTGAGAATCACAAGGGACAAGTCTTGAAGATCTGAGGAAGAGAAGGGACAAGGGTTTGGTGTGGAGACGGCGGGCCATCAACAACATCATCTCGGGGTGCCACCAAGGGGAGTCTTGAGTTGCAAGATGCTCCAAGCTCAGAGTGAATCTTGGGTTGCTTGTGGAGGAAGCCTTCGGCTGGAAAATAAGCCGATCCTTCTGCAGAGGAAAAGCATGTCTGGGTGATGCTGGGGATGCTGCGGGTTTAGCATTATGGGTTTGGTCATCCCAGGGGCCTCCTTTTTCATCCAAGAGGTTACCAGAAGGGTGCAAAATAGACCCTTTTATGTCTCCCTGTCTCATTCCCTTTGCATTTCTCACTCCTGCACAGCTTTGATCCTACATTAAATGGTGGGTTTCCTGCAAGCTGCTGTGGACCTTGAGGCGAAATTGTTGTCAGAAGAGATCTGATTCCACCCTAAACTCAGCCAAGCTTTCTTTGCAGAACCAGCTCTTCTGTTGTCCTCAAGCAGCAGAACCGGGGGACGAGAGTGACAGCCGTTGGCCCTTCTCTTCTCCTGTGGTCGCCCCACCTCCTGCCGGGCACCCTTGAAAAGAGGCTGTTGCACCCAGGTGTGGCTTCTTGTTTAAACATTTATTATTCACCCATCCTCCTAAGGGCCTCGGATGAATTACACTCCATAAAATATGTCAGATTAAACACAACAATGGCATGCAGGTAAACCTCCCTTTTAAAACGTCAAACGGCAGTCACCACAATGCAATAAGAGAGAAGGTTGGATTTATTTATTTTATTTTTTTAACCAGAGGGCCTGTGATGAGGAAGCCCTGAGTCCAAAAAGTGAAATCTTCAGCTGGCCCCAAAACACAAACAGTGTTGGCATCGGGGGGAAGTTCACTCAAAGCTGGAAACCACCATGAAGAAGCCCCCATCCGTCCCTTGATCCCATAACATAATTCTTCCACGCTTATGTTCATGCCCTGGCACATACCTGCATGAGATCGTACGTAGGGATATGCGTGATCCACGTTTCCAGAGCTTGGACCGTCTCGGTCACAGTTCACCAGCAATACGGCACCTTCTCCATGCGGGCCCCATGTCCATTTGGTCTGTGGGGGAGAAGAAGGAAGGAAAGACCCGAAGGATTTCACCACCTCCTCTGAGGCTGACTTGAGTGCATGACTTCCTTGATTTCATGGCTGCGTGCTGCTTTTCCCAACATCTTTCGGCTTCAGCGCAGATGGGCTGTGCAACGTCCTTCAGAACGCCGTAACCTGTGCGCCATCCGTTGACCTCCCTTCTCCAGGATAACTTTTTGCAAGAATGGTTTCATAGCTCTGAACAAGAGCTCTTCAGTCTGCATGGCACACTGATACCTGTTCAGAATGCGTCAAAATTCAACTTTACCTTGTTGGTGGCATAGCTCTCCACAGTTCCTGTCCGGCTTGTATCAGCATCCAGGGAGAGAGCTAAGAGAAGGGCAGAGTTAAAACATTAGCCTCTTCTGCTTCTGTTGCCTTCACTTATGTCCAGGACCTCAAAAACAAGTGACTTGCCTGCTCTAAAAGAGTCTGAAAAACAAGTTAACCCTCTTTTTTAAAAGAGGCTTGTTACCTGGTGTTACCAAAACAGTCATTCCCAGCATCCTTCCATTGCTTCTAAAGCTCAACCTTTGCACAGAATTGCCCCAAAACTGTGCAAGGAGAATCCAAAACGAAACAAGACAGTTTAAAACACTGGAATCAACTGTGTCCAAGCAGCAGGGAGATATTTTGAGAGGTGTGATCCCTCCAGGTGTGATCCCTCCCCTTTGGGCCTTAAGAGAGGCAGCGTAGAAGGAGATCCAGGTTCTGCATTACGCTGAGGCTTACCTACACAGGTGATGTATAGCCAAGCACTGGCAATTGGTGTTTGCCCTGATTGTCCATAATAGGACACTCTGACCTACAAAGAGAAAGGATTGCCACGTCACTTCTGAACTGCCAGACACTTTCATACATAAAGTTGTCCTCCTGTTGAGACTTGACCTGCAGGAGTCCGTATTCTGCCGTGCAACAGGAAAACCCAGAGCCAGATGGCTGGGGGTAGAAGCGTCCTCAAGGGAGCTCCTAACTCAAGCTTCACTCCCCAAGAAGGACGTATTTATGAGTAGGACCCTGCCAGGGCCCCTCTGGGATTTCTGACCCCCGCTTTCTGCAGACATCCTCTCTTTGGAAAACTTTCTCTTCCAACCTGGCAGGAAGATGAACCCCTGGGCTGCTGTTCCCAAGTGCAGTGGCGCATTGAGATGTCCCACTCACCTTGTGGTCGTTGACGGCACTGCTCAGACCCTTCAGAGCCACGATGACCTCGGTGTCTGCATCAAGAGGCCACATCTTGGAGCCTTCAGGTTTGGAAGTGAGTCTGGGGTCGTATGTAACGTAGACCCGGAGCCCAGCTGTTCCACGGGCATCAAAAGATGTGGCCCCCTTGGGCAGGGAACTAGGGTCAAATCAAACAAGAGGGGCACGTGTGGAATTACTCCATGTTTTTCTGAAGAATGGTGTGGCTGATCTAGAGATGGGACTTTATCGCTCATGGCCAACCAAGATGTTTTGCTCAGATCTTTTTCTGCTGTTTCTAAATTGTCTCCCAGGCTGAGGTCAGGAAGAGACCCCTGCTTTTTTTGTGAATTTAAACCCAAGTGCTCCTCAGAGGTTGGGTTTTAATATCAACTCTGGAGCATGTGCAGAATAAAAAAGGAGAAAGCAAGAGTGAGATGAGAATAACACGGGGAAGAAAAGGAAAAAACTCTGTAGGAAGAGAAGGGAAGAAGAAAGGAAAGAAAGGAGAGAGAGAAAGAGTATAGGTATTTGTTAAAGGATCTGTATAAATTTTATGAAACGGGTGATGTGTGTTTCTGTTGGCACCCTTCTCTTCCCTTTTGTTCTCTCTCTCCTTAATGCCTTGTAGTGACTTGTAAAGAGATATATTAATCTGTCAGTACACTCAATTACACTCAAAAGGGGAGAGTGCAAGGCCATAAATCTCGCCATAAGCCCTTCTTCTAGCTTCTCTTCTAGCAGCCAGCTCCCCCAGGATTTATAAGCTGTTGTAGTACAACTATGGACCAACAGCTCCGATACGAGAATTTACAGTGGTACCTCGGGATACGAACGCCTCTACTAACGAACATTTCGGGTTACGACCAACTCGGGGGACGTCCAGAGTCACGGAATGGATTAAGTTCGTATCCCGAGGTACCACTGTATATGAATGCCGTTTTCCATATATACGGAGGGAGGGCTCTGATTTCTTCCTCTCCATCGGCAGGAGAAAGGAAACCCAAAGGAGAAAAATAGCAAGAAGTCATAAAGGCACATCCTGTTCAGCTGACATATAATAAAAAGAATTGTAACAATTCACACACAAAGGCTATGAATTTGGGTATGACGAGGAGAAGTTCTGTGCGCCACAGCAAAACTAACCAAGGGTCTTGCGTTGCCTTGAAGGTGGTCGGGTTGACGGACGGATTTTCTTCGATGGATTTTCTGCAGTTCCAGAAAGAGTCGGGTCCAAAAGTTGTGACATGGAAGGTCCACGTTTCCTGAAACTCATTCCGTGTTCCAGGATTTTACACCGCCGAGTCCTATTATTTTCCTCCCGGTAGCCTGCACGCATTCCAAATTACTCATGAAGGTGACCCAGCGTTACTCAGTGTTTTTTATCATAATGCACGGACGTGTTTTTCTGTCCGTGTGGTTCGGCCACACTTGCGTGCTCTTAGAAGGAGATATAAGGTGCCCAAAAAATGCAACGAGACCCACATTTTAAACAATGCCTCTTCCTCTGAGCTAATACGATGGTGGCATTTTATCTTTGTGGCAGAGAAATATAAAATGCAGCACCGTCTGCGTACCAAAATAAACGAGCAAGCAGCATGAAACGCCGCCAGCCAGAAAAGTCAATCCTTTACAGAATCGTCAGTTTGAGCCTCGTTGACATGGACGTCGTATCGTCTCCAGAAGGGTTTTACACCAGGAAGGCGTGTGTCGCACAGCAGGGTTTCCCGTACATCTCCCACTGAAAGTGCAAGCTGAAATCAGGAGAAGAAACCTTTCCAGGGATCTTTTGCCTTTAAGCAGCAAGAGCTGCAGTGCGTGTTAAACCCTTTTGTGTCGTGCTTCCAATCCACCTTTTTTCTCCCTCCTTTGCGCCTTTCGGTTCTCTGCACATTTTTTCCTGCGAAAAATCGCATCTGGGCGTCGCAAGGGACAGAAATAGCACCTTGCTCCCAGGGGTGTGGACCACGCACATCTGCATTTCAGGTTTTTGCACGTCTAATACGTTTCACTATTCTGGTACCCTGAAGGTTCAAGGAAATGTTTCATTTCTTCTCCGCATGCAGACCCCTTGCATTTTCAAGGAGACTTACTGAGTTGTATTTTATCGACTTTTTAATTGTAAAAAAAGACTCTCCTTGAGTCTCTCTCTCTCTCTGATATCATCATAATATGATTTGGGTCTGAAGCCAAATCCTACAGAAAGATGGACTTTGGAAGGATGCAATGTCTTCCGTTTCTTCTTTGCATTTCTTAAAATTGGGGGTAAGAAAAAGGCATTTTTCTGTGCTTGTCAAGAAAACTACATTCTTGAGCTCCCCAGGAGTTAGGTTAAGTTCAAACGAAACTTAATATGTTTAAGGTGGAAGCCAATTTCCTTTCTGGAAGCTCAGGAGACTGAAAAACAAGCAATAATCAAGTTCTGCAGAACTAAGGCGGGATAGCCTTTGTCTTCATTCCATTCTGGTTTCAGATTGCTTTCTTTTTTTAAAGTACAATGCATTTTGATTGGCTTAAGTATTTTTCATTTTATCAGTTACCTGGAAATGTCAAGAGACATCATTTATTTTCTTTACTGATTGCTTCTTGAAATGGTTTGTATGCGGTCATTTCTGGCAACGGATTGTTCTAAAGTGCGAGTTCTAAAATAGGTTGGGGAGAATATTTATTGGACGCTAATGAAAGAATACTTTAAGTAACATTTATACAGCCTTTTCCACATACAGTATGTGTCCCCCATACATTATCTCAGTCATTCTTCTAGCAACCTTATGTGGTCACGGCAAGATCTCAATCTGCGCACAACTCACGTTCTTGAACGGTCCCATCACTTACCCCTTGATGTCTAAGGAAATTTCTGTCCCCAGCACGCAAACCGCGTAGCTCAGCTGCTTGGTGGACACTCGAATTACCCTCTGCTTGGTCATCATGAATTCCACCCTGAGAAAACTCTAGCCAACGAAGCACCCAAGATCTGAAGAACCCAAGAGTTATTTGGTGGTCAAACCAGCATGACTAGCTTGGGAGACAGAAGACGAATTCTCCTCCACCTCGTTTGTTGCTTCTGGTGTCCTAACGGGCAGTTGTGTCTCCTTGCATTCCCCATCAGCTTAGCTTTTATAGACTGTTCTGGGGGAAGAAAGAGGAGGGGAAAATACTGCATGAAGTTCAGCCTAGATCTCCAGCAAGGCTCATGACCTACATTGGATCATCAGGGAGGTCCCGCTTAAACAGAAAGGGCAGGTCTCTGGTTTGTAGAAATGCTATAATTTCGTTATTCCGGTGTGTTTTTGGCACGTTACTCAGAAGGCTACTGGGTTTTGTGCTTAGCTGGCAAGAAGAAATAGCCAGCCAGGAATGTTTAATTCTCTTGAGTGCAAATAAATGGTTTCCTTTCTCCTTTCATCACTAGCATTTTTAACACCTTACGAGGTGTCTTCTAAATCACCATGCAGAGTTTTCAAACTCAGTCTCAAGAGTTTAGAGTTTGTTTGCTTCCTATAGTTTATTAGGAGGCAGAGAACCCTTAGCAAAAGCAAATTATGAAAATGCATTTAAGAAAAACCCAATTTCTTAACTGGAACAGGTTCGTGGACCACTTCTCTAAATTCTACAGCAGTGGATTTTGTCATCTGTTGCAATGGAAACCAGAATGCTCCACCAGGAAGTTAAAGATATTTTCGTTCCCACACCAACTGCCTAGGATAAAATCTATTTTGACCTCTGAAACTTTCTGCCACAATAAATGAGTTAATCTTTAAGGGAAGGGTAACCGCAGAGAAAGCAAATATTATAATTTGAGAAAGAGGGCTCTTACCCTAGAAACGTCTTAGAGAGAATCAGCATTAAAGAAACCGAGGGAAAGCAAAGTTGACGGATGGATAAATCGGTGGTCCACTCACTGGCCAAAGGTCCTGGCCCAGCAGAGATGTGAAGCTGCAAGACTTTACCTGTTGATCCATTTTAATTCAGCGACGGTGCGGTGCCCCCTGTAATGTGGCATGGAGGGTGAAGGAAAAGCGTGGACGAGAGAATCCATCAAGCCTGTGCTGATGACCTTGTCTTGATGCTGAGCACTTCCACGGCTTGCTATGTCCTGGTGCTCAATGGCCCAGAAGAGGCTCCACCAGGTCCTTCTACACCGCTCTGGCGGTGGTGGCAATCTGAGTGGCATCCCATGGGAGATCATTGGCATTTGCAGAGGAACATTGGGATGTAGGACTGCAGAGTAAGACTAGTTTTGCAGAACGCTCAAAGTCCAACGCTACAAGGACGTCGGCGTGTGGCGCTCGGCGTGTCACATGAGCCCAGTCATTTGTGGCTCAGTGGGCAGACCACAGTTAAACAAAACAGGCCCGGTGCAAAATGTGAATCCGTTCCTCAAATTGGAACTGCACACACATTCCTTGCGGATGCTTGACAGGGACCAGGATGCGAAGAAAGAGATCAGGGATGAGAAACCGAGCTGGCCATCTCTCCATTAGAAGGGGTCGTGGATGACCAGGGGGCCCCATCCTGGGCCCCGTCTCCGTTCCTTTCCCTGGAAAATGCACTCAAAGCTTTGCGCCTGCAAAGTTTAATCGTTTCCCCAAACGGCAAACCACTTACACTAATTGTTATGCTACTCGCTTAATGGCAGCTGGAGTTTTTTTTCCCAAGGCTTCACCAGCTGATTGTGGGCAATGAACAGCAGCAGAAGACCAGTTTTCCTGCCTTGCACCTGGATGATGTGAGGATTTATTTAGTTAGCCAAATTGCTTTCGGGGGGGGGGGATGCTGCGTCCCTGCACAAGAAGGTGGAGGCAGAGAAAATGACTGGGTGGCTGTGAATTGGGGAGGGGGGAAGGGGGGTTATATACACTCTGCTCTGAACACCTTGAAATCTCGCTCACTCCCTGCAATGGATGCTGGAAGCAATTTCAGGACAATATAGCTGTATTTGGTGACTGGATAATGGGAAGTGAACTGAGCAGAACCCAAATCCCAAGCTTTAACTCAATTTCACAACCTCTCCTTTTTCAATCTCATGGCTCTTTCAGTTCCTTGGCCCTTTATGAAGTTTTCTCCACCCCAGGCGCTGTTCCCTTTGGCCAAGTCGCCCTCTGAGTCCACTAGAGTGTTCCAGTTTTTGGATGGCGGGTGTCGGCAGATTTTCACTAGCTGGCAGTGGCTTCACTTGGAAAAGTTTACTTCTGGCCCATCTAGAACGTCCAGGATGCAACATTATTCGGCAACCTATTTTCTATAATGTCTAAAAGTAACAGAACCAAATATGTATTTTAAAAAATCCTT